ATTATCAGACTACTTTGTTTTAAAAAGACAAACCCAGAAATAGGGTCAATGCCATTATGCTAATTTGTATCCTATATTTATGAAATACAATTCATACATACAGTGACTTAATTTAACCACATGTGTATGTTTTTTAAATAATTGTTAAATATAATTTAAGAGGTTACCGTACTATAAAAATATGTAAGTTTCAGATCTCAAAACTACCAAAAAACAGCTTTTATTGAAACCATACTGGCAAAATCACGTTTTCTACATGTATGTTTGTACTACATAATAGAGATTAATACAACAGCACAAGAGTGACTGCGTAGACATAGATCAATGTCTATGTCTTAATTATTGTATCTTTAGCCCGCCTACTGAAGCATTATAGAAACAGACAAAATAATTACTACAGCAGAATCACTGGACTAAAAATAACACTATTTACCAAATATTACTAATTTAATGAAATGGGCTGGTAAATATGTTTATTATGTTTTGAACTAAATCAGTGTACAAAATAGCCATTCATTTCTAAAGGTTTTTTTTTAATTTTTTTTTATGCAAACATGTTGCTAATCATTGTAAGTGCACCTCAGAAAACATAAAATCAATAAATTTTGGTATGGGGGCATGAATGAAAAGAAAAAAAAAAACAGGCTGACAACTTTCCTGATATCAGAATAAAGAAAAGAAAAAAAGAAAAAACCATTAAGTGTAAACATACTAGTCTATTAAAATAATATCATTATAATTATTTTTTAACAAACTGCTTCAAATCGTATTAATCCACCAACTTAAAGTCATGTGGTCCAACAAAAAGAAAGAAAGAAAGAAAGAAAGAAAGAAAGAAAGAAAGAAAGAAAGAAAGAAAGAAAGAAAGAAAGAAAGAAAGAAAGAAAGAAAGAAAGAAAGAAAGAAAGAAAGAAAGAAAGAAAGAAAGAAATTCATGATATTTGTTAAAAAAATGTTTTACCTTGAAAAATATATTTTGGGTTTTTGACCATAATGATTAAGGTGTGTACAATCACATACATTCAAGGTGTAAGGGTAATATGTCGTTACTGTTAACTTGATTGTTGTGTTATTCATTATTTTCCCTTAGAAACTGTATAAAACATTGTTATAAAATTGTTTGGTAATACTTGATTTTACAGTGTCTATGTTATACACGTTGAACTCTCCATTAAATAATGTTGTTGATTAATCTTAATCGGTATTAAATTGTATAAATACTTTGTAACAAAGAGACAAAGAGAGTAATAAATAAAGTGTGACCAAATACTTCTAAGAACTTTTCAAGCTAAATTATTAAAACATTTTTAAAAGATATTTTTCTTTATCTTAGATAGTCAAATATAATTGATCAACAAGCATATATGATTTATTCACAAGAATGTCCAGAAAGGAAAGGAAAGAAAGAAAGTTATATAATAGAAAGCACACCTGCAGACCCTCATGATTTTGCGTCAAGGTCAATATAAAATGTCACAAAATTTGACTTTTTATGACAAGACAATGTAAGTTCAGGTTGTATTCAACAAGCATATATGATTTATTCACAAGAATGTCCAGACAAAGTACCTGTCTCATTGCTGATCTCTCCATCTGCACAGTTAATGCAGTCATAACAGCAGACAGGTCTTCCTTTTTTCACAGCCTTCCTAGTACCTGGAGGACAGCTTTCACTGCACACAGACACAGGCACCTGCAGGTAACAGGCAGACATAGCATCAAGAGTCAGAAATGAACCAAGATAGCACACACACACACACACACACACACACAAATAAAAAATAAAATAAATAAATACCTTTTCACTGCCATCATACCAAATGATAGCTCTGCTCAGACTGAATTCTTGGCCTTTAGTCTTGGATGCATCATATTGACCCACTGTCACAAAATCAACTGAACCGTCTCCCTGAAGCTCCCAATTCACAAGTTCATATGTGGCCACAGGGTCTCCATTTTTATCAAATGAGACAGAATAATTATTTTTGGTAAAGTTCACTCGCTTCAGCTGATCAAAAACCTGCATGATAGGCATGACAAATACAGACTGGTGTAATTTGCTAAATAATCAGTACTGAAATACTGGGTGTGGTTGTATATTTTATAGTAGACCTAAAAGAAATAGCTACTATATTAAGAATTTTCAAATCTCTTTTGTAAATGCATTGGGGGAAAAATAAAAATAAAATAATTAGTTCAGCTGTTCCACGATGAGAAAGTGTACCTGCCAGGGTTCAACTCTGATGTTGTTGTCACAATGCTTTTCGTTACAGATGATGCTATGGAGGGCACGAGCTATAGCATATGTGGCTTTGTACACCATGTTAGTGATCCGCAACTGGGACGTGTCTGTGTACGGGTTCTGTAAAGCGCGCAGGTCCTCTGTGCCATCACATGCTGGCATACCAGCAGAAGAACCTGTCTGGCTTTTTAGACTACAGCTGAATGAGCTTTCCCAGAATTCTGTCAGCAGGGGAAATTTTAGCGCTTGTTCTGGAGACAGATCAAGTAGAAAGTTACGAAAACCAGGGATAACAGACCGTGGGATTGCAAAACCCACAGCACCGATACACAAATTAAACCGCAGCATTTGTGGATCTGTAACCCACGCCTCGCTGCCAATCCACTGCATCGGGGGAGGCGGCTGCTGGCTCAGCTCTTCTAACAGAAATCTCATATCACCTGCTGCCACGAAGGCAACTATTACACGAGCCGTTGACCTACGAATGACATCTGCAACCCTTTTTAGTTTGCTGCGCGGCTGGGTCCTGTAATAGGCCTCAGAATATTCCACACAGATTCCCTCCTGCTCCGCAGCTTTCAGGAATGATGCCATGCCATTGTTCCCGTAGTCTGAATCACTGCGCACTGCTCCGATCCACGTCCATCCGAAGTGCTTGACCATCCGTGCCAGTGCTGCCGCTTGATGGTGATCGCTGGGGATGGTCCTGAAGAAAGTAGGATGCTGCCGCTTGTCACTGAGACATGCACATGTTGCGTAATGACTCACCTATAGAGCACAGTAAAGAAATATTAATACTTTACATTTACATGCATGATATCTGCTGACACAAATGTCAAATGTGTCCGAAATTACAACAATTACACAATTTAAAGAAGACCAAGAAATAGTTAGAGTAAGCACCTGTGGAATCCCGAAACGACCGAAAAGTCTTGGAAGTGCTTATAGCCGCAGTGGAACCAGATTCTCCGACTAATGCGAGAACTGCAGCCGATTTTACACAGGCATCAGTGTCATTATATACAAGATCTACTCCGTTGGTAAGTTGAACCGCTACTTTCATTACCATTGGCACAGAGGCACATGAGTCATATATATGGTACCCTAATGTGATGCCCGGTAAAAGATCAGAGCTGTTGTTGATCTCTTGGATGGCGAACTGTAAGGCACGAGCAAAGCGCAACTCTCTGAAGTCCATGCTGTTCAAGCACACAGATGAAAAAGTGTATTATAACAACTTAAATACAAGCACTTACACGTGTTGTCTGATTCATATTAGCTCATTTTGCATAAACAAAAAGACAACTATGAACATAATTTAAGCACAATCAATATAACATATTCAACCCTGCTTTTTTAAGGATTACATTCAATTTTGTCATACTCTAACCTGCCACTGCACACTAGTGGTTGTGGCTGTCTAGTGTAGGTGTGCTTCTCTGTCCTCAGATAATAATGAATGGTAAAAGCCCCTCCAATAACAAAGTCTCCGTTCTTGAAGAGAGCAGGGAGCTGTGGGTCACCTTGGAGAATGCAGGTGCCTAAATTAACCCCAAACACAGGGGAAAGCCTTGTAATACACAGTGTTATCACTGTCAATAAAAGACTAACATGCATTTCTCCTGCTAGGCAAGCAACCGCTCCAAATGTAAGGTGCGAATTATGCCTTGTTTTATATACCCACCTGCCGCTGCTGTTTATGTTGTAACTCTGTACTGGAAAATCTAAGAAGGTGTGGTTAATTGATTAATATTTTACATATTTGTCACCTGTCACATGTCAATCCAAAGGAAATTGTCACGGAAGCATGTTTGTTTTAAACATTAAATTTGGTTTTACTTCCCATCTAGTTCTAGTATTAGCAAGGATGCTTTGAATTGATCAAAAGTGAAGATTACAAAAGACAAAAGATTTCTATTTCAGATAAATGCTGAACTTTCTATTCATCAAAGAAACCTGAAAAAAATCTACTCAGCTGTTTTCAACAATATATATAT